TTCTACATTTGTTTCTGCTTTCATGTTTATATGCGCTTTAAATCCACACCTCATCATAACTTTTTAGCGTTCGTTGCTTAGAGTTTCCTTTGGCAGAGAAAAAGCGGGATATAAATATATGCAGTAATAATAATAATAATAATAATAATAATAATAACCGAAAGCGGTATAATAACTATTTAGTGTGGCCGCCTCTTGTCTACCAAATGCACAGAGAGAAAGGGCTGCATTGTTAAGAGCATGCAAGGAATCAGTGAGTGAGTGTGTGTGTCACCTGCAAAATAAGATGCAGGAAGCCGATCGGTTGGGCAATGCCCGGGGAGATAGCTGAGCCTGAGACTTTTGAATACTGTTGCATTTTTGTTCAGGCTTGAGCTATGCACGTGCAGAGAGAGAGTTTGAAGACAGAAGCAGAGAGAGAGACAGAGTTTGATGTGTGCTTTTGCTTCATGAGCTGCTAAATAAGTTTATCSACATGGYCAGAAAGTGGTATAATAACTATTTATGTGGCRGCCTCTTGTCTACCYAATGCACAGAGAGAAAGGGGTSCATTGTTAGAGCATGCAAGGAATCTTTCTGTGTGTGTGTGTGTGTCGACTGCAAAATAAGATGCAGGAAGCTGATCAGTTGGGCAATGCCCYGGGAGATGGCTGAGCCTGAGACTTTTGAATACTGTTGCATTTTTGTTCAGGCTTGAGCTATGCACGTGCAGAGAGAGAGAGAGTTTGAAGAGAGAAGCAGAGAGACAGAGTTTGAAGTGTTCTTTTGTTTCATGAGCTGCTAAATAAGTTTATCCACATGGACAGAAAGTGGTATAATACCTCTCATAAAAGGACTTAATGTGAGTTGATGCAACTGATCACATTGTGCATATGTTGTTCTTGAACTGCGAAGAGTAAACTACATCTTTATTGTTCAACTGTGTGGCATATTTTCTTTACCTGGCGAGGCAGTGTGTGGGCTGACCAAATGTGAACTACACATGGTTTATTTTACATTACACTACATGCATTTCTACATTGTAGAATGAATGCAGTTTGTTAACGCTTTAACAGCCCTGGCTCAATGCTATGGATTCGTGGGAGTTGTAGTTTTACAATGTCTGTAGCCTTCTTTGTCAGAGAGTGTTGGTGCCTCACCAAAACTACAACTCCCAGGATCCCAAAAGTGGGAAGAGACTACACTTAAAGTGGTGTCAGACTGCAGCTGGATGCACCCAAAGCTTGGATTTGGATGCCACTTTGGATCTGGAAAGCAAACTCTTCCATTGACTTCCTTGATGAGTGCTGCTGGCTCTCAGCCGCTTGGTGAGATCTCATGCTGGGCAGGAAGGGGATGCTTCAGCTGACTTCTCCTTCATCTTCAGCCCTAAGAGCATTTGCCATTTTTATATAACATGTGCTGCCTTTTTATGATCCTGCTAACAAGTCTGGGAGGCGGTGGCGCACAATGCACCGATTGTGGTGGCCCCCTTAATGGATTCCCCGCCGCCGCAGAGCCCTCTCTGGATGGGGTTTTGAAGTGGGCTTTCCCAATTTGGGTCTGGACACCTCCTTCATAAAAAGGGGGCGATTTGTTGGTCTCCCTATTAAACCATGTGCGCCGATGGAAGAGAGCATGCCTTCTGGGGCGACGGCGATTAAGTCAGCAAACCATTAAAAGGGGGAAGAGAGCCAAGAGTTAGGAGTTACTTTACATCAGTTGCTTTGCAAAAACTTTGGGCTGAAACGGGCTCTTGAATCCCAAACAAGCCACTTTTTCTCCGACTATGACCAATGTGCCTTCATTGTTTGTTTGGAAACCCCCAGAAATAATGAGAGGAGGAACCGAAATCCTACACTGTGAACATTTGCTGCTGTTGTTGGGCATCTTCATGTCATTTCCAACTTATGGTGACTCTGTTGTGGGTTTTTCTGGGGCTGAGAGTGTGTGACTCGCTTAAGGCCACTCAGTGGGTTTTTGTGGCTGATCAGGGATTCGAATCCTCATCTCTATGATTCTGTGACTTCTTAGGATCTAGAGCAGTGGTTCTCAACCTTCCTCATGCCGCGACCCCTCAATAGAGTTCTTCATGTTTTGGTGACCCCCAACCATAAAATTCTTTTTGTTGCTACTTCACAACTGTCATTTTGCTACTGTTATGAATTGCGATGTAAATATCTCATATGCAGGATCTATTTTCATTCACTGGACCAAATTTGGCACAAATACCCAATAAGCCCAAATAGGAATACTGGTGGGGTGGGATTGATTTTGTCATTTGGGAGTTGTAGTTGCTGAGATTCCACCTACAGTCAAAATGCATTCTGAACTCCACCAAAAATGAAATTGAACCAAACTTGGCACACAGAACTCTCATGTTCAACAGAAAATAGTGGAAAGGTTTGGTGGGCATCGACCTTGAGTTTTGGAATTCTAGTTCACCTACATCCAGAGAGCACTGTGGACTCAAACAATGATGGATCTGGTCCAAACTTGGTACAAATACTCAATATGCCCAGATGTGAACACTGATTTATTCATTTATTTATTTATCGTGTCAGGAGCAACCAGACAGTTGTATTACATTTTTAACAAAACAAACAAACAAACAGACAAAACACAAAGTTTGCAAGCTTGGTAGTTGATTAAAAATCCTTTGACCAGTATCTGGCCACTTGGAGTGCCTCTGGTGTTGCCGCAAGGAGGTCCTCCATTGTGCATGTAGCAGGGCTCAGGTGGTATTGCAGCAGGTGGTCAGTGGTTTACTCTTCTCCACACTCGCATGTCGTGGATTCCACTTTGTAGCCCCATTTATGAAGGTTGGCTCTGCATCTCGTGGTGCCAGAGCTCAGTCTGTTCAGTGCCTTCCAAGTTGCCCAGGTTTCTGTGTTCCCATGGGGGAGTCTCTCATTTGGTATCAGCCATTGGTTGAGGTTCTGGGTTTGAGCCTGCCACTTTTGGACTCTCGCTTGCTGAGGTGTTCCAGCGAGTGTTTCTGTAGATCTTAGAAAACTATTTCTAGATTTAAGTCGTTGACGTGCTGGCTGATACCCAAACAGGGGATGAGCTGGAGATGTCTCTGCCTTGGTCCTTTCACTATTGGCTGCTACTTCCCGGCGGATGTCAGGTGGTGCAATACCGGCTGAACAGTGTAATTTCTCCAATGGTGTAGGGCGCAGGCACCCCGTGATAACGTGGCATGTCTCATTAAGAGCCACATCCACTGTTTTAGCATGGTGAGATGTGTTCCAGCACCAGCAGAGTGGCATAGCGCAAGAGCAGATGTCTTCACTGTGGTGAACGCTGATGGAGTTTGGGGGAAATCGACCTTGACATTTGGGAGTTTTAATTACTGGGACTTATAGTTCACCTACAATCAAAGAGCATTCTGGACCCCACCAACAATAGAATTGGGCCAGACTTCCCACACAGAACCCCCATGATCAATAGAAAATGCTTTGTTTTCTGATTGTCTTTGGCAACCCCTCTGATACCCCCTGACGATCCCCCCAGGGGTCTCAACCCCAAGGTTGAGAAACGCTGATCTAGTGGGTAACCTACATGGAGCACACTTTTGGACTCAAAAGCCAATGGGGCCCTATCCAACCCTGTAATGATTCCGATGCCCATTGAGTTATTAGACCCCGCATGGAGCATTGGATTGTGCTCAATGGCCAATGGGATCCTTTCCAACCCCTATAATTACATTATTCCAATGCCCGTTGAACTGCGCAGCTCAACCAAAAAAATATTGGTGTCTTAGTTTTTAGGCCTGTTTCTGGGGTTTCTGGGGCGGCAGGGGGGGGGGGAGAGTGCTGATTCAGAAAATTCAATTAGATGGACTGCAATAGCAATAGTTTCTTGGATATTGTTATCATGGTTGTCTATGGGCAAGCAGATGGCAACCAGGAGATGCCATATGTTCTGTATTTCAAAAACTAGAGCTGATGGGGAAAAACTGGTGCCATGCTTGGAATCAGCAGGTCCCAGAAACAGGGCTAACTGTACAAATATGTGAAAGGGTATCAAGGAAGAGGGAGTAGTCATGTTTTCTGCTACCCTGGAACCTAGAAGCAATAGGTTCAAATGACAGGAAAGGAAATTCCACCTGAACATTAGGAAGGACTTCTTGACCTTACAAGCTGTTCAACAGTGGAATTCTGCCTTGGAGTGTGGTATGCAGATGACACCCAACTCTACTACTCATTTCCACCAAACTCCAGAGGTAGTGAGGTCTGTTGGAACTAGGAAAAAGGGTTTATATATCTGTGGAATGACCAGGGTGGGACAAAGGACACTTGCCTGCTGGAACTAGGTGTGAATGTTTCAACTGACCACCTTGATTAGCATATAATGGCCTGACAGTGCCTTGAGCTAACTTTTGTTGAGAGGTGATTAGATGTCCTTGTTTGTTTCCTCTCTGTTGTTGTTCTGTTGTAATTTTAGAGATTTTTAATACTGGTTCACACCTAGCTCCAGCAGGCAAGAGTCCTTTGTCTCACCCTGGTCATTCCACAGATATATAAACCCTTTTCCCTACTTCCAACAGACCTCACTACCTCTGAGGATGCTTGCCATAGATGCTGGCGAAACGTCAGGAGAGAATGCCTCTAGACCATGGCCATATAGCCCGAAAAAACTACAACAACCCAACATTTGAAAACTTTTCTGTTCCTGGTTTGAAAGTATCATTTCCTGTTTCATTGTGTGGTGCTTTCTTTGAACGTAGTTGTTAGAGTCTAGGAACTTCATTTTTGTGGCTGCTACAAACTAGGATGAATTGGTTGAGACTCAATGAGATATTTATTGAAAAACTAGATCAAAATGTGCTGCAGGATGTCCCTTCCACAAAAACAAAATTCTTGCAGTTTAATAATCCTTTTCAATGTTTTTATGATAGAACCAATTAGGAAAGGACATTTATAACTCAGGAACAAAAATCGGATAACAAGTAGACATTCTCGGTGGTTCGGTGGCATTGCATTACTCAGTCCTGCGTTCTTGTCATTTCCTTCCAGTGCCCATGCCCTCGAAAGCAAACGGGACCTCCATCTCTGCCCTGGCCATGAACAAGGACAGCCTGATCGGAGGTGTGACGAACCCCAACGAAGTCTTCTGCTCCGTTCCGGGACGCCTCTCCCTCCTCAGCTCCACCTCCAAGTACAAGGTGACCGTCGGCGAGGTCCAGCGGCGGCTTTCGCCTCCTGAATGTCTCAATGCCTCTCTGCTTGGTGGAGTCCTTCGAAGGTGAGATGCCTAGAAGATCCATTTATATCATTACAGATCTGGATCCTTTGATTTGGTGGCATCACGTTGACTATTACGCCTAGAAGATCCATTTATATCATTTGGTGGCATCACGTTGACTATTACGCCTAGAAGATCCATTTATATCATTTGGTGGCATCACGTTGACTATGACTTGTGATGACTCAAAGGGTCTCTTAGGAGCGAAAGCGAGGGCAATTGTCTTCTTATTGCAGCACTAGCTGTCCCCTGCCATGTGTTGCTGTGGCCCAGCCTGTGTATATGTGTTTTGTGTGTGTATATACGTGTTTTTGTCTGTGTATATATTTGAGTATATATGTGTGTTGGTGTGTGTATCTATATATATATATAAATGCTCTGTGCATAATGAGTACCTTAAAAACAAAAGAACCAATGAACAAAATCACACCAAATTTGGCAACAAAATGTGTCACAACACAAGGAGTGACCATCAATCAAAAAATTATGATTTTGTCATTTGGGAGTTGTAGTTGCTGGGATTTATAGTTCATCTACAATCAAATAGCATTCTGGACTCTATCAATGATGGAATTGAACCAAACTTGGCACACAGAACTCCCTTGACCAACAGAAAATACTGGAAGGGTTTGGTGGGCATTGATCTTGAGTTTGGGAGTTGTAGTTCACCAACATCCAGAGAGCACTGTGGACTCAAACAATGATGGATCTGGACCAAACTTGGCACAAGCACTCAATACGCCCAAATATGAACACAGATGGAGTTGATGGACACTCGTTGGCCTGATATGCGTATTGTGTCCACATTTGGTGTCAATTCTTGGTTCTATCTTTCTGCAATGCAACTTTTCCTCCTACTTTGCTGAGAATTACATATTAATTTATTTTCTGTGATTATGGGATTTATTTCTAAATCAAATAATTACATAATGTGATTTATTTTCTGTGTTTAAATTATTGTGATTTTATATTGTTGGGGTTTATTTATATTGTTTCTTGTATTTTATGTTTTATTTTTATATTTTACTGTTGTTGTATGTTGTTTATTTGCATTGCTGTATTGTTGGGCTTGGCCTCATGTAAGCCGCCCCGAGTCCCCTTGGGGAGATGGTGACGGGATATAAATAAAGCTTATTATTATATTATTATTATTTCCCAAGGAGCCCCCGGTGGCGCAGTGGGTTAAACCCCTGTGCCGGCAGGACTGAAGACCGACAGGTCGCAGGTTCGAATCCAGGGAGAGGTGGATGAGCTCCCTCTATCAGCTCCAGCTCCTCATGCGGGGACATGAGAGAAGCCTCCCACAAGGATGATAAAAACGTCAAATCATCCAGGCGTCCCCTGGGCAACATCCTTGCAGACGGCCAATTCTCTCACACAGAAGCGACTTGCAGTTTCTCAAGTCGCTCCTGACACAACAAAAAAATAAATAAATTTATTTCCCAATGGAATTGTGCCTCTCATGATCGGTCCAAAATAAAATAGTCTCAGTTTAATCATTTTTGGCTCCTAGTGAGAGTTCAATTGTGATTTGCTCTAGGATCTATTCATTGGTCAGTTTTAGATATCCATAAGTTCCCTGGCAACACATTTTAAATGAGTTGATTTTCTTCCTGTCCACTTTCAAATAGTCATACAAAGCATTTCTTTTTTGTCGTGTCAGGAGCGACTTGAGAAATTGCAAGTTGCTTTTGGTGTGAGAGAATTGGCCGTCTGCAAGGACGTTGCCCCAGGGGAGGTCCGGATATTTTGATGTTTTACCATCCTTGTGGGAGGCTTCTCTCATGTCCCCGCATGAGGAGCTGGAGCTGACAGAGGGAGCTCACCCACGCTCTCCCCGGATTCGAACCTGTGACCTGTCGGTCTTCAGTCCTACCGGCACAGGGGTTTAACCCACTGCAGCATGAGTTAGGTATTCATGTCTTCATGGAAATATGAGGGTTAATTGGGCCCCTCTCTGCCAAACTGGGGCAATTGGAGGCTTTATAACATTCCTACCGAACTCTGACTTGTGGTGGGATCCTATATTCCTGTCTGAAGGAAGGGTTCTGACAAGATATTTACATATTAGGCCATTGTGTTTGCGGAAAGAAACGTGGACATAAATAAAGTTTTCTCCATTGTCTCTTTTTAGGGCCAAATCCAAAAATGGCGGAAGGTGTTTAAGGGAAAGACTGGAGAAGATAGGGTTAAATCTACCTGCCGGGAGGCGTAAAGCGGCCAATGTTACCTTGCTGACATCACTGGTGGAAGGTGAGAGTTCTTTACTTTTAAAGTTTGGCTTTTGCCAAGTATTGCAAACGATTGAGGTGCCTTAAATATCCTCACTTTCCAACTGTAACAAGAAGGCTGCATTCATTTGCTTTGCCAATATGTTGGATTGTATGTCTTCGGGGTTGGACTGGGTGACCCTTGAGGGTCCCTTCTAACTCTGTTATTGACTTCATCACATTTACTAAATACCACTGAGTGCTACACTTAAAATGTGGAAAGCCACTGTTCTCATCACATTAGGTTGGGTTCAAGTGTAGACAGAGCATTCTTTGCATATTTTAAGCGTGGGGGGCCAATATTCCTTTCAAACGAGTTTCAAGAGATGCTGGGGAAGTGGATTTTTGGTAATGATCCAGATGTTTGGCCAATTCTGTAGTGTGATGGCATTCGTTGCTCCCAGGATTAAAATGAAACATTTCCCCAATTTGCAGGAGGGGGAATTGTGGGAGGAGCCAAGCCAATCTCTGGGTGCATCTGCACTAGAGAATAAACTTTAAATAAAATAACGCCATACTATGCAGTCCTGTGATTTATAGTTTCCCAAGGTCCGTACCCTTCTCTGGGTGCATTTACACTGGAGAACAAATGTAATTGGGACCCACTTTAAATGTCATCATCATTATTATTATTATTATTACTACTACTACTACTACTATTATTATGCTACAACTCCATGCTGCGCAGTCCTGGGAGTCAACATTTTCCAAGGTCCATACCGTTGTCTTGGTGCATTTACAATATGGAATAAATTCCCTTGCACCCCACTTTAAATACCATAGCTCCGTACTATTCGGTCCTTGGAGTTATATTTCCCAAGGTCCATACTCTTCTCTGGGTGCATCTGCACTGGAGAATAAATGCAGTCAGGACCCATTTAAAATGCAACTAATTATTATTATTATTATTATTATTATTATTATTATTATTATTCTTATGCCTCCGTGCTGTGCAGTCCTGGGAGTCATAGTTTTCCAAGGTCAAAACCCTTCTGTTGGTGCATTTAGAGTATGGAATGAATGCCCTTGCACCCCACTTTAAATACCACAGCTCCATGCAATGGAGTCCTCCTGGGAGTTATAGTTTCCCAAGGTCCATACTCTTTTCTGGGTGCATCTACACTGTGGAATGAATGCAGTTAGACCTTACTTTAAATACCACATCTCCATGAGGTGGTCTTGGGAACTGCAGTTTGCCAAGGACCATGAACCTTCTATGGGTGCATCTACACTGTGAAATGAATGCAGCTGGACCTTACTTTAAATGCTGTAGTGCCATACTATGCAGTACTGGGAGTTATAGTTTTCCAAGGTTCTCTGTGGGGCAGCTGAGAGAGTGGGGGAGTGTGCATCCCCACTTTCCCTCTCTGTTTCCTTGTTTCTGGAATTGAAAACAGGTAATACCTGACATTTTTCAACAAAGAACATGGGGAGGGATGGTGGGGGGGGGGCAAATCTTTAAAATGTGATGGCAAATGAACTCAAAGAATGCTGAGTACAACTGAATAACATAGATACATTTGACAGTGTGGTGAAGGTAGGGAAATCATCTGTTTCATTCCAAAACGGAGTCCTTGGTAACCTTGTCTTCGCCAAGCAAAATAACACCAGCATGATATTTATTTATCGTGTCATCAACAACCATTGTATTACAATTCTAACAGAGCAAAACAAACACACAGATTAAAAAGAAAAAGAAAAAACACACAGATTTTGCAAATTTGGTAGTTGGTTAAATGTCCTTTGACCAGTATCTGGCCACTTGGAGTGCCTCTGGTGTTGCCGCAAGAAGGTCCTCCATTGTGCATGTGGCAGGGCTCAGGGTGCATTGCAGCAGGTGGTCAGTGGTTTGTTCTTCTCCGCACTCGCATGCCGAGGATTCCACCCTGTAGCCCCATTTCTTAAGATTTGCTCTGCATCTCGTGGTGCCAGAGCGCAGTCTGTTCAGCGCCTTCCAAGTCGCCCAGTCTTCTGTGTGCCCAGGGGGGAGTCTCTCATCTGGTATCACCCGGGTTGAGGTCTGGGTTTGAGCCTGCCACTTTTGGACTCTCGCTTGCTGAGGTGTTCCAGCGAGTGTCTCTGTAGATCTAAGAAAACTATTTCTTGATTTAAGTCGTTGACGTGCTGGCTGATACCCAAACAGGGGATGAGCTGGAGATGTCTCTGCCTTGGTCCTTTCACTATTGGCTGCTACTTCCCGGCGGATGTCAGGTGGTGCAATACCGGCTAGCAGTGTAATTTCACCAGTGGTGTAGGGCGCAGACACCCTGTGATAATGCGGCATGTCTCATTAAGAGCCACATCTCCTGTTTTAGTGTGGTGAGATGTGTTCCACACTGGGCATGCGTACTCAGAAGCAGAGTAGCATAGCGCAAGGGCAGATGTCTTCACTGTATCTGGTTGTGATCCCCAGGTTGTGCCAGTCAGCTTTGTATGATGTTGTTTCTAGCGCCCACTTTTTGCTTGATATTCAGGCAGTGCTTCTTGTAGGTCAGAGCACGGTCCAGAGTGACTCCCAGGTATTTGGGTGTGCTGCAATGCTCCAGTGGGATTCCTTCCCAGGTGATCCTCAGAGCTCGGGATGCTTGTCTGTTCTTAAGGTGAAAAGCACATGTCTGTGTTTTAGATGGATTAGGGATCAGCTGGTTTTCCCTGTAATAGGCAGTAAGAGCACCTAGAGCTTCGGAGAGCTTCTGTTCAACCATCTCAAAGCTCCCTGCTTGAGCAGTAATGGCATGATCATCAGCATAGATGAAACTCTCTGTCCCTTCTGGCAGTGGCTGGTCATTTGTGTAGATGTTGAAACTACATCCATGTTCAACCAGCATGATGTAGAGTCCACACTTTAGTGCTTCCTTGGCTCACTGGCACACTATTGTCATTCAGTACTATTGTGTGGCCCAATCAATGTGTAATCTGCGCATCGGGATTTGTACTACGTGGTCCTGATGTGGGACCTTCGCCAGAGGACATGAGCATGCTTCTAAGTCTCTTTGTGCTCTTTGTGATGATGATGATGATGATGATGATGATGATGATACATGACAAAATGGACCTCAAGGCCCAACCTCTTTGCAATCAATCTGGGCAAGCGGTTCACCCCTGGAATGGTGGCGGAGGAGGTCTTATCCTCGGACCCCATGCAAACCAAGGCAGTTCACAACTTGAACATGAGAAACAGGAGAGTGCTTGTGTCCGGTGAGCTCTGAAATCCATTGTGCCAAAGAGAAAGCGAGAGGCAGCTGCTGCGGAGGAGGAGGAGGAATAGGAGATCCTCCATCTCCTTTGTTGGCAGCAAATGAAACGAACAGGTCTGCAGCCATTGTTCCCCAAGGCAGTTGAGGCAGGCTCGGCCTTTGAAGGGCTGATTTCCATGAAAAATGGGAGGCGGGAAGCAGATTTTTTGGCTCGGCCCAGACAGCTGGGAGCTGTCACTGGCTGCTGTTTGGGAGTCAAGGTAAATTACAAGCGAAAGGGTGCCTGAATCAGGGGGAAAGTAGGATGACCCTCCGTCTAGAGTTCTTGATTCGAAGGATGGAGCTCAGTCTTAGTGGAAACAAAACGAGAGTCAGAAATTGAGTGAGGCGTCAAGGCGGAGAAGCGTTGGATTATTCTGTTGCTGAGGATATCATTCTTCTTTTGGAAATTTTCTCCCTGGTGCATGGCTTTCTGCAATTATTCATAGTTCAGGGCCAATTCTTCTGCTCAGGTTTGCACAAATTGGTACAAGAAAAAAGAGCTGGCTTGTTTCCTATTTTCTCCAGAGACTACACCAGACGTGGGCAAACTTGGGCCCTCCAGGTGTTTTGGACTTCAACTCCCACCATTTATTAAATTTATTTATTTACGTCACTTCTATCCCGCCCATATCATGTGATGTGATGTGGCGGCAAAAAAAGCCAATGGGATTTTGGCCTGCATCAATAGGAGCATAGTGTCTAGATCTAGGAAGTAATGCTACCCCTCTATTCTGCTTTGGTTAGACCACATCTGGAATATTGTGTCCAATTCTGGGCACCACAATTCAAGAGAGATATTGACAAGCTGGAATGTGTCCAGAGGAGGGCGACTAAAATGTTCAAGGTCTGGAGAACAAGCCCTATGAGGAGCGGCTTAAGGAGCTGGGCATGTTTAGCCTGAAGAAGAGAAGGCTGAGAGGAGATATGATAGCCATGTATAAATATGTGAGAGGAAGCCACGGGAGGAGGGAGCAAGCTTGTTTTCTGCTTCCTTGGAGACTAGGACGCGGAACAATGACTTCAAACTACAAGAAAGGAGATTCCATCTGAACATAGGAAGAACTTCCTGACTGTGAGAGCTGTTCAGCAGTGGAACCCTCTGCCCCGGAGTGTGGTGGAGGCTCCTTCTTTGGAAGCTTTTAAACAGAGGCTGGATGGCCATCTGTCAGGGGTGATTTGAATGCAATATTCCTGCTTCTTGGCAGGGGGTTGGACTGGATGGCCCATGAGGTCTCTTCCAACTCTTTGATTCTATGATTCTATATCAGCCCGAAGGCGACTCAGGGCGGCATACAAATCGGCAACAGTTAGATGCCATATATAAAAATACATACATCGGTTAAAAGCAAAAAATCACATCACAATACATTTAAAAACCATAAAAGCCATCTATTTAAATAAAAATGTAATGTAATGAAAGCCTTTGACAATACAATGTAATGTTCGTTTGGGGGATTAACATAACAAGAACCACTAGGTGAATTGCCACCAAATTTGGCCACAACACACCTGCTAACATAAGGAGTGACCATCACTCCAAAAATTGATTTTGTCATTAGGGAGTTGTAGTTTCTGGGATTTATAGTTCACCTAAAATCAAAGAACATTCTAAACTCCACCAACGATGGAATTGAACCAAACGTGGCACACAGGACCCCCATAAACAACACTAGAAGGGTTTGATGGGCATTGACCTTGAGTTTGGGAGTTGTAGTTCACCTACATGCAGAGAGCACTGTGGACT